TTCGTTATATACATCAAAGAAATCTCTAGTTGCTTTAATACGTTTAAATTTTTACTATATGCCGATGACTTAAAAATCTATCACAGAGTGAAGGATTCATATGACAGCAGAGAAATTCAGGAGGACTTGAAAAATTCCGTGATGATAATGATTTGTTTCTCAGTCCACAAAAATGCGTGTCAATCTCATTCTCCAGAAACAAAAATATAATCAGAAGTAGTTATTACTTTGAAAATCACGAATTGAAATCGGTCTCAGAAGTTAAAGACATGGGAATAATTATGGACTCAAAGTTGTCATTTAATTCACATATAGAAAAAACCGTCAATAAATGTAATGGTATTATTGGATTCCTCAAAAGAAACTGTCAAAATTTCAGAATGGCAAAACCTCTCCTAGATTTATATTATGCATATGTACATAGTAGGCTCTGCTTTGCATCGATTGTTTGGAAACCTCAGTACCACACAAACATAGATCGTATTGAGAGAGTCCAAAACAAATTTCTTCGCTACATTAGTCACAAATTAAATTTCCCAATTACGAATAGCGATTACAGTCCCATTATGCCCCAATACAATATTATGCCTATGAAGGATAGAAGAACTGTAACGGATCTTATCATGATTTTCAAGTTGAGCCCAGAGCTTTATTCCAAAATCGAGTTCAACGTTGAGGCGTACAGAATTCTTAAAGTTAACTTGCACAAGGACAAATGCTGCTCAAAATTCACTACTTTATAGAATGCTTAAAACATTTAATGAAATCTGCAATGATATTCAATATTTTGAAATCTCTAAACTGTTTCAAACGCAGGATGGAGAAAATTTTCATTGATAAGTTGAGATCATTTCTGTAGTCTCTGTCACTCTTATAAGAATTATGTTATTCATCGATTATCCAATGTAATTTTAAAAAAATTAAAATTTACATTATTTTTTCTCGAAGCACACTTGAACTAAAATTATAAAGTGGGTTCTCTATTGGATTTGTTAATCTGTTTGTAACCCCTATAATGGTAAATGAATAAATAAAAAAATAAACTATCGCAATTTATCACTTCATATATTTTTAACGGTTGGATAGAAAAAACGATTCGTATTTCCTAGAGCTTTGTGTCTTTTGATAGGCACCGAATTTTCGTATTTTCCTCTCAATTAAAATGATCATTATTATGATTATTATCAACTGATACTCTCTATCACTGTTTCCGGGGGATTGGTTCACTATTGAATATTTTACACTTATCTGGAAATAGAATCTTGCAAAATCGAAGTCATAATTTTTTTTTCTCCTATAAAATTATAACATACAAATTTTTATATGATTTCCACATCGTGAGACACTTATGCATTCGACAATACATCGTTTTTCGAACTTTCTGCTGCTCATTCATACCATTTGGATGATCTGATTGAGAACTACTTGAATTTTGCTGTTGATAAATTTACAGCCGGCTGGATGCATTACTAGATCTGGAGAAAATAGTATTGAAATTCCAAAGTTTGTGTGGAGTATTTTTCTGAAAATAAAAGTCCCGAGGTGATCTTGCAGATTTACCTGCCTCTAATTCCTCTTTGAACTTCTCTTATCATTTCTGGTCACCTTACCAGGAGAAAATTTCATAAGATAGGTCTCAGACATTTCTCGATCGTTATAGAAATTGTTACTATTAAAGTTGAATTGTCATTCAGTTCCAGCTATGTTGAGAGTAACAAATTCTTAGATTATTTGAAAATCTTTATGTGGGATTGTTGCCGAAGAGGTAATCAAATTAACAGATATACAAAAAACAAGTTGATGAAAAAGCCATAAAAATACTCATGACTCACATTTGGAACAGTTTTTTCTCATTCCATCCTTTATATTTCACTTCATTTAACCAGTAGCCTGGCTTTGATTTTATACAGAGGTTTGAACCGTCATTGAGACTTTTTCTTGATTTTATTCGTTTGCATTAACAAACAATAAATAGAACAGTAAGTAATCTTCATAAGTAAGGAAAGCTCTCTCTTCTCTTATATACGAGATGAGAAGAATTGAATATATTTTAAGTTGTATATCAAAATGTGAAACGACATTTTGACATTCATATTTCAGCCAAGCTATTTGTTTCCTCTTCTTGATAACTTTGGTCAAAATCGAATCAAATCGAGAGAAAAATTACGAAAAACCAGTAGGGAAAAATAATAAAACTTTTGGAATCAACACTTTTCTTGCCTTTACTTACCAGAAGTAAAATAATCTGTTTTTCCATTAACCAGCTCTCACTCCCCTATGAATGACAATCCTCAAAAGTCAAAACTTTCAACCTGCGATTCTTAATACGGGTAAAGCTTAAGCCTAGGTGGGGTTGGATAGTTTATGTAATATTTTATATCAATTTCAGGTTTCTATCAAATCAGCTGTTTACTATTCATTTTGAAACCCTAGCTTAATAGGAAGTATTAGACTCTCTGACGTTAAGTCAATGGAAAATATGTCTCCCAAACCAGAACTGAAGCACTGTCTCTCGACAAGTGTTTCGCTAACCAATTTGGCATAATAGCATTAATTTTTTGTCAAACTACATTTAAGAATCATTTCTAGACCGCAAGCCTATATACTGAATTTTCAGAGGATCATTTTTAAAAGTCCCTGTACAACTTTCATGAATTCGAATACTAACTATAACTGGATCTTTCCTAATCAAACTCCGTAAAGAAATGGAAGTACAAAATGAGACAAATTTTATTTTTCGTAAAAGATGATAAATTTCTGCATTGGTTAAGAAAGGTCACAGTCGTAATTAATATCCTGATTTATAAAAGTCATGCAAGACATTTTGGCCTCTTGTTTTCACTTCTGGACTATGAAAATCATATATTTCAGGAAGTATCAAATGGACCCCTAATATTCAGCATGGTTCAGCATGGTTCCCGGACCGTTTTTCCGAATGAATGAAACCCATAACGTTGGAAATCCACAGTAACAGCAAGGACGGATCAAGGGGGAAGGTACTAAGTTAATAAACTTTCAAATTCCAATATGAATAATAGTGTACTTAAAAACTGTTGCTGCAAATTCGATAAAAGAAATGGTAATAAAGTAATCAGTTTTTTTCATTTTGTCAAGGTGCCAATGTGTGTGTGTTGTTCAAACTGAAATGGTTCAAGAACGTTCAACCGGACTGGAACTTCTCCACGTAAATGAAAACGGACCCATTGGAATAGATAAAGTAATAACTCGTTTCGGAAAAAGACGTAAAAGAAAAATTGGTTTTGTTATTTGAATCTGTTTAAAATCTGTTTGAAATCTGTTTTTCCGTTAATCAGCTGCCGCCTCCATACAAACGACAACTCTCAGAAGTTGAGAAACTTGTGCGAGCTAAGGACTAACGAGGTCTTACCTTTTAACGTGTGATTCCTAACACGAATAAAGGTAGGTATTTTCAATTACAGTATCTACTTGCAGATATATGATGGAATCGGCCGATACTTGATGAAAATCCATAACTAACGTATTCCAAAAACACTTTATTGTGAGATTTTCACTAAATTGTTTTACAAAAACGCAACACGTGTTTCGCCATACAATGGCTTCATCTGGCGTGTCTTTCAACTAANAGATTATAACAAATATGAAATAGCATTGAAAGTTTTTTTGCCTTTTCAAATCATCCGAATTGGAGGCAAAAGAACCGTAAACCAAAATTTTCAAATTCTTAGCGTAACCTGAGTAAATGTTAATACTATGCCCAACGATTTTATTATTTTTTCATCTGATCAATACCGTAGATTGCTGAGGAAAATGGTGTAATAACTGCTACCTAGGATCTTCCAAATTATTTTCCAGTTCTCGCTACATTATCTACATCATTATTATCTTTTTTTCTCGATAAAACCGTTTAACATAATTTTTTTACTTATTTTATTATCAAGTTATTAGTTTCTGATTTTGTTACTCAATTCTTCTTCATTATGTTTAGTTCATTCAGTGCCTCAGTATTACAAGGTATTATGTAATCCGCCATTTTGTAGCTGCGGCTATCTTGAATTTGTATTTTGTTCAAAGTGTACTACTATTCTACTTGTGATGCACTATTTGGAACATTCAGTGCAGTAATGGATATTAATGGAGTTTAATCCGAACACCAAACCGTTATTTTTAACACTTGGACACGTGTTTCAATCAACAAGTGATCATCTTCAAGACGAAGATCGAACTCAGTATAACCGTTATTTTTAACCACTCGACACGTGTTTCAATCACCAAGTAATCATCTTCGAATGGAAGATCAAAATGAGTTCAATCACAACACCAAACCGTTATTTTCAACACTTCGACACGTGTTTCAATCATCAAGACGAAGATCGAAATCAGTATAACCGTTATTTTTAACACCTCTACACGTGTTCCAAACACCTAGTGAGTTCAATCATCTTCTTAAAATCAGTTTAAACTGAGTTTATTCTTCCTCTTGAAAATTATCTCTTAGTGATTTGAACACATGTCGAAGTGTTAAAAATAACGGTTTGGTGTTTGGATTGAACTCCAGTAATATTCATTTACTATTCTACTAGTCAAGCTATGTCATTTGATACCCATATTGAGGTAGTTGTGAAAAACAATATGTAATCCGCCATTTTGTAGCTGCGGCCATCTCAGATTAAATTGTATTGAAAACTCATGAGAACTCAATGTGTGTACCAAATTTCAGATCAATCTGTTAACAGAAAGGGAGTCACTTTTTAAATACCAAATTGACCCAAACAAACAGGCCAAGCTAAGTAAAACCGTCCAAAAACGGCCTATATAAAACGTACATCGATGTCAAGTACTATCAACAGAAGGGTGAAATTGAATTTGGAAGTGAATTATGAAGATATGACATAGAATTATACTAAAACTTCAGTATATGGTTGGTTTACTGTTGTGAAAAATTAGTTTTTCAATTTTTCAGACACCCTGTGAAAATTGTTTTTTCATATCGACAAACATATTTTTTCAGCAAGCAAAAATTGTAATGAGCAATTATTCTGAGCAAATTACATTATTTGTCCGTTTCTCCTCTTGTCCACCTCATCGCTGGATGTACTGCATATTTTTTGTAGTACATTCTGAAATATCCCGTATAAAATCTTCAAAACAACCCTCAAATGATGAACAATTCAGCAAAAACTACTAAGCATAAATAAATAGTTCCAGAAAATCTCATTAACCCTTTCATTGTACAGTTCATTGCGGGCTAATTTATTGCACGCAAACTTCATTTCAGTGCTACACATTCAAAGACAGTCATCTCACGGTTCCATTTGTTCCTCTTCGCAAAAATACGAGTTCTGCATGGAGTACAGTCGATCGATCGGATTCAGTCCTGACGTCGTTTGAGGAGGATTCTGATGTGCCATTGGTGGATTCAGGAACAAAGTCTGTTGTGCCGTTTCTAAGTTTGCAGGAAACGATATGCCCATGTAGCCTTCCTCTCGTCTTTTGTTAACTTCTATTCCTGTTCAAGAGCAGGAAAATTGTGGTTAAATCTAAGTGTTGTCATGGTTTGCAAAGCAGAAAGGAATCGATTTTGTGTAGGGTTAGGCTGGCAAGCGACAGAAAAGTTCTTATTTATTTATAATACACAGTCGAATAATTGATTTGTTTCCCGAAGGGTTTACGGAATCACTTAATGATTCTTGACTAATTAGTGACCAAAGACAAACATTTTGGTTATATTATTATTGATATTAATACTATCAGAGTGCACATCACCTCAATATCAGTTTCAAATTTTATTTAGTTCTTCATAGTGTCTGTGAAACTAGTTTGTTATGACCGTTATAAACTTAATGAATAGTATACAGTACATTCCATTCAAAACGAGCCATCCTGAATAACTTTTACATTTTGCAACAATTATTTTCAGGAAAAATAAAAAAACACGTCAACAATAGTATACACACACACATTTTGTGTGTGTGTATACACACACAAAATTGAAAAATCCAGACAAAGACAATTCGACCGGGATTAGGCTCTATCACATTGATCATTGAATCGGTTTGTTGATTTTAGTAATTATAGATTCATCAATTTGATTTTCCATTATTTGATATATGTTATAGAGAAAGTTCTCTTCCTTCATTATTTTTAGGAATACCTACAATATTTCTGATATTGGGTATCTCCATTGAAGTATGTTTTTAATTTTTCACAATTACATGGTGATATTTCTGAGGAAACTCGTGGGTTGGGCTACCTATCAGGCGCGTCCCCAGGTGGTGGATAGTGGAACGGCCAGGGGACTGGGGGTCCTGTCAGGGAAGCCAATGTGGCCTTACCGACGGGGTCGCCGGACTCTAGGTCAGTGGCAGAAATAAGTAGGGCGAGGGGAACTAAAATCCCCAAAAACCTTTGCTTACCATGCCACCGTGGACCAGCCTACCCAAGCTAAGGTGTGAGGAATCGTGCCGACAGCTGAATGGCCGCAGAGTGATATGCAGTCACGAACTATACCCTTGGGGAACTGCGCAAAACTTCATTATAATCAGCCTACCTCTGGTAATGCGGAGCTGTGCCAGAGATGACCAACTCTTCACTTGATCCTCGTAGAAACACACATGAATGAAACAACAGAAACAACAAAATCAAAAACCAATTCCGAGGCTGGACAGAAGAGCTCACCTCATCTAAGGCGGAGGCTGGGAATGAACAGAAATGTCAACCCCAATCTACCACTTGGAATAAGGCTGGACATAGCAGATCACCTCCGACAGCAAAGGCATTTCCTGCGGCGAGCGTCAAGAGCTCCGCCTTGAATAGAGGCAAGAAACCGGCTGCCTCTGCAGGAAAGCTTCCCCACTTGTGCACCTCCACGGAGGGAACCCCAAGAAGGTTGAAGAAGCCGCGCAACGATAGTAATATCGCTGTACCTTCCAAAACCTTCGCGGAGGCCACCGTGAGACACCTCAAGGTTGCCAAAGAGAGTGCGTGTTCGGTGAGTCTTGGCCTACACCTGCCAATATAAAGAAGATGTATCCTGGATGGACTGCTGAATGGAAGGCAGCTTCAAATCTCTGCGGATGGCTTCATTCCGAACAAACCACGGAGCATTCACAATCATCCGTAGAGTTTTATTTTGTAAAGTCTCCAAGATGGAGATGTTGGTCGGAGCCGTTTGTCCCCAAACGCCTGAAGCGTACATGATGACAGACTTGAACATCGTGTTATAGATCGTGATTTTATTCTTGAGGCTTAACTTAGATTTTCTATTCCGAACGAACCACGGAGCATTCACAATCATCCGTAGAATTTTATTTTGTAAAGTCTCCAAGATGGAGATGTTGGTCGGAGCCGTTTGTCCCCAAACGCCTGAAGCGTACATGATGACAGATTTGTACATCGTGTTATAGATCGTGATTTTATTCTTGAGGCTTAACTTAGATTTTCTGGTAATCGAAGGGTACAGGCTTGCCATCCGACCCTAGATCTTTGCCTTCACGCTTAACAGGTGCGGGTTTCAGGTGAACCTACGGTCTATTAGAAGACCGAGGTACTTGACCCGCGCTTGCCAGTCAATCTCCCTACCAGAAATTCTCACTTTCATAGCCGGAGATGTCGTTCTTCCCATGGTTATTGCCTGAGTTTTTTCCGGGTTCACCCGGACCTTCCACTCAAGGTACCAGCGCTCGAGATCGCCCAATGCACGTTGCATATAGACGATCCCGAGCTCCCGACCCATGGAAGACGAGAGGAGAGCCGTGTCGTCGGCGTAGAGAGATACCTTCACATGCTCGGACCTCGGAAGGTCGCTGGTGTAAAGCGAATAAAGCGTGTGGGAGAGAGCACGGCTCCCTGTGGCACTCCAGCAAGGATCTCTCTCTACTCTAACCTGAAATGTTCTGTCTTTCAGGAAAGACCCAATCTACCGGATCAGGCCCCGAGGCAGGTCGAACGCAATTAGTTTATGTAGAAGGCCTTCATGCCAAACACGGTCGAAGGCCTTCGAGATGTCTAATAAGACTATGTGAACTTTTTTATTTCGGTTTAGCTCCGCGATGGTATTTTCGACCAGTCTCAGAGCCTGCAACTCAGTGGAATGCTCTCTCCTGAAGCCGAATTGTTCGTCAGGCAGAACATTTCGGTCCTCAACTTCTTCATTGAGCCTTTGAAGTACGACTCTTTCAGCCAGCTTAGCCACCGACGAGAGCAGACTAATCGGGCGATATTTTCCTGGAAAGGACAGGATGGACGATGAACTAGGATGACAACTCCTCGGGAGGATGTACAATGGGTCACATGTGGCCTAAGTGCTGTGACTCTACACTCACCCTCCCTACTCTACAGATACCAGATTCTGAGGAAACCATTTTCACGAAAAGGCACTTTCTCAGTTTGTCATGAGAAGTAAACAACAATTATTGTTGATTTGGTTGGTATCCGGGTTTTGCCGCGGTCTTTTTTGGTTATAATCTCCAAAGAAGGCCACGGCAAAACCCGGTAACCAACCAATACATTGACACTAGCCCTGAAAGCCTACATTCCTATAACAATTAATGTTATATAAATAACAATTTATATCAAATAAAAAAAGTCATACACGAATGTCCTGCATCTCTATGAAAACCGCTAGTGAAGTAAAACATGGAAACAAAAATAATCAAATACTTCTTGTATGCGTGGCATATTTTTCGAAAGAATTCAATTTCTCAATCACTGTCTCGCCATTTGCCGAAGAGCATTTTTCATCTACGACCATAAAAATCACATACCGTCGACGATGCATCAAGCGCTTTTTAAATCTCATATAAACTAATTGTAAATAACAACGAAAGACAATATGAGACAAGCGTTACCTGTAAAAGCGTGTAGCGGCATGTTGTTATTGCTTTTGAAGAAGGAGTTATCGTTCTCGAGTTCTTCCTTTATGTTGAGAAAATGGGGGTTGGGAGTGTTCTGGAGAATAGTTTCGTCGGTTGTGGTTTCATTGTCGCTGCAGCTGTCGTTGAAGAACGGGGTTGAACGGGGACCTGCAACAATAAGAAACGTGCTCGTTTGTTTCTAAAGGGTGTTCGAATTATTGGTTCGTGTAAATCGTGAACATTATTTAACATTTCATTGTATAGACTGCCAAGAACTATCACTCTTTACCATTTCATTGTAGATTCTGTCAACAATGTTGAAAATTGAAACATGTAATTTCGGTAATGATGTATATGGAATCTTGTTTCGGGAGAGGACATACAATAAACATAGTTCCAAAGTTCATCAAAGGTCAACGTTTCAAAATCATCTCAGATGACAGTATCAAGACAAAACGCGTTTGGCAATTCATTTCAGCTCACTTCTAGGTTTAATGTAATTGCTCTTTCAGTAAAATCTGATATTTCAGTCGGGATGTGAAGTAATACTAGTTTTGAGATCGGCCTGGAACTAAGATTAAAAAAAAGGTAGAGAATAAAACTGACACTGACTTTCGAAAATATATGGAAGTTATTACCATACATGATGGATTTTGGTAAAATGCAATGATGATTGAACTCATGCTATAATATATAAAATCTACAGTGTGGTGATTAAAAATTGAACAAATAGAGGAATTCACACTATAGCTATCCATTCGACCAAATGAACCCAGCTTAGAAGGGTGAATAAACACTTTGGAGTGAGCTAATCCTGGAAAATTCTGCCAGAAGTCCAAAAATCTTTTTGCCATCCAGGTTTTCAATGTTTGTTTAGCAAAGCCTGAAGCGATGCCAATGACAGGTTCTGGTCCGCTGAAGCTGATTGCAGCACCCTCCTTTGCAAGGGAGTCAACAGCCTCTTTGCCTTCCAGGTCAGTAGGTCCAGGAATTTAGACTAGAGACAATCTGTTAGGTCTTTCTATCGAGGAAAGTCGTAGCTATCCATTTAGTCAATAAGCATAATTACTCCAGGTTGAGTGAATATAATCCTATAATATGCAAAATTTAATAGATCTCTGACCTTTTTTGGTTATGGTTTGATAGAACAATTTGATTCGTGGCTCTCCAGCTTTCTCAAGAAATGTTCTCCAGAGATCCATTTAGATTTCAATTATGTTTGTATTATACATCAACGATTCATTGGAAAAGGCCAGAAATCCAATATTTTGCTTTGCTGTTAACAATATACTTGACTTCCCATATGACAGAAAGTCACACAGAACATACAATTTCACTAGCAGTGTCGACTGAAGCAATCGTCAAAATATCTGGACTCAATCTTGAAACACTATTACCAACTAGAAAGATGTACACATATAGCATAAATAGGGTTAGCTTCGCGTTAGTTTCTAGTTTAAATCTTCCTCTTTGAAGATGATCACTTGGTGATCGAAACACGTTTCGAGGTGTTAAAATTAACAATTTGGTGTTGGGAAAAACTCCAGTAATATTCAACGACTGAGACAAAACTACAGGATACGCTTCAGGAACGAATATCTGGCGGAGTTTGTGAATTTAGGTTCGCGAGAACAGTCGTCTACTCAAGTAGGTGGTGATATTGTATATTGTTAGAAGTAGATAATAAAAAGACGGTGGATTGGCCAATAGCAAGAATTTTTGGAGATTTTCTCGGAAAGAGATAATATAACAAGAGTAGCACGGATAAAAGTCAATAGGAGCGAAATAATTCGTCCACAACAACGAATAATTCTCTTGGAATTATCCACAGACGAAAACATATAGTTATCTAACCGAAATAATGAAAAAATATTGAAATCTGGAAACACAAAGAAGCACCGAGTACCCAAAGTAATCCAGAAGAAGAGAATAAATAATTTTGAATTATCATTATCAATAGTTCATTTTGCATTCGTATCATGCCCAAATTTATCACAATTGTGAACAAACCTGTACACGAAACTGCCTTGTTTTGGGATTAACGAAAGAAATGAAGGCGGAAAAATGCATACAGAGTGATGAAAGATCATGGAGGAGACTATTTGAAATCACAAATATATCTTTTCGTTCGAACATTCAAACTTTTTGAGTTATTCTTGTTTTCGGTTTTTTGCGATGAAATATACAGTTCTGATTTAATGGAATAGAACTGGCAGATACTTGATGAAAATCCATATTAAAAAACTAATTAATATAGTTTATTGTATGATTTTCACTATAGATGTTGGCAACGTATCTTTTGCTATACTGTATCTTTCTTTCTATTTTTATCCATTTGATTTTTCCATGTCTACTTTCTTTAGATACAGCGTAACTTATGTTCATAGTGGAAATCGTACAATAAACTATATCAATTAGTTTTTCAGTTCTGATTTAGTTTATAACTGTATTAATTTGGAAAAAATTACTCAATTAGGTTTCGTTGGTGTGGAACCCTTGAGATATTCTAACTTCAACCTACTAAACATTTTATACAATGTGCAATTCAATTTGACTATTTATCAATTATCTTTGTTATCTTAGCTGATGAAAGGAGAATAAATCTGATCATGAATGTTATTTAGGAAACAATATCGAGTAGTAAAAAAAGAAAGTATATGGAAATTTTCAAAATATTTAGAAATTATTCTATAATAATACAGATTCGCAGAAAAATTAAATCATCAATGCTATATAAATTTTAAGATAACGAGTTGAAGTAGCTCAGTGACTCATCAAATTTATAGACTCTACTTAGACCAGCCTATTGTATTAGTCGTTTTCATACCATCATAAATCGACACCAACTAAATTTGAAATCTGAAGTCATATGTTAGCTTCAAAATATTTGAACTCTTCTAATGGACACATATTTCATTCCCATAATTCATTTTGCCTTTCTATTGTTGTAAAATATTTCGAATAACAGGATGGTTTTTTTAAACAATATAACTTTAATTAAATGTCACTTCGCATAACAATGCATCAAGATTTTTCCTTTTCGACTGGTGTTAAAACTGTATTCTACACAAATAACCTCTTAATTAACGAACAATCAATACGGGACAGAGAAAAATAATAAAGGAGTACTCACTTTGTTCCTCTTCTTTGACATTTAATTTCTTTTCATCATTTTCCAGGTCTTTGGGCGCTTTGTTATCCAGCTTGGCTTTCTTTTGAATTTTCTTCATTTTAGCGCGTTGATTTTGGAACCAAACCTGATGGAAAATGTCTAATTAGCTTGGGGCTGAAAACTTCACGATTGGTCAAAGAAATTGAAGTGAAATATTTCTTACGGGAATCCCAAAAACAGAAAGGAAAGAGGAGATGAGATTGTTTAATTGAACCAGCCTTACGGTTTGAAGTTTGCCGATGAATTATTTAAAATATGTCTATTTGGAAAATAATGGATGAGGTTTCCCTCTATCAAATATCACCTCAGAGCGCCATAGTAAATAATAAATATGGCTTCTTGTACTCAATTCAGTGTGTGACGTGTTTTTTTGTGGTATTCATTAATATCAACGGAGTGACTGCGAAAATTTCAATATACAGGGTGTAAGTGAATAAGTTTGAAACATTTGAGGAGGCAATTCCTCATCGAAAAAAAGAAAGGATCTTTCATATAAAGAAACTTCATTGGAGCATCCCTTGTTAA